GCTGATTAAAGTGGGGACCACTTTGAGCCTAGAATATCTGAAACCTTTTCTCAATATTCTAATTTTCTGAGATTGTGGATTTGGTGGTTTTTATGAGCTAGTATCGCCATAACTTAGAGATGAGCGGAAGGATTCAAAAATTCTGATTCGACTGTTTCGGCGAGATTCGTTGGAAAAAATTTCTGATTCGAGTCGAATATATTCGCTGCGGGAATTTAACTTATATAACAGGGTGTTTCTAGGCTTCAGAGAGACTTTATATTATGTGCAGAACACTGTACCTTTAATTAAATGCCCTTGGAGTCTGCTGGGGAAGAGAAATAATACTGACAGTCAGTATGACATGCAGATGAGTGCCGTCGATCTTAGAATCACCGCACACTTTCACTCATTTGGGCAGTCAAGGGCCCAAAACCAGAGTTGTGGAGCCACAGTGTGGCGGTGGGATCGGCAGCAGCAATGGGAGGCCATACAGCACCTATGACAAAAAATGGAAACCACCAGCAGTGTGAGGAGACCTGAAAGTGGCACATATGGCAGAGTGTGGCGATGGAGACAGCAGCAAAGGGAGGCCGTACAGGGACCCATGACACACTCTGGAGCCCTGGCAGCAGCATGAGGAGGCGGTACAGGTTGGGCCCATGACAGATTACGGGCCTGGCTAGCAGCAGCGTATGAGGAGTCGGTACGGGGGCCCATGACACACTCTTGGACCTGGCAGCAGCATGAGGAGGCGGTACAGGGGCGCATGACAGATTACGAGCCTGGCAGCAGCAACTTGGACAGGAGGACGTTCAGCTTCTGCACCGTCGGGTGCGTGCTCAGCAAAAGACTGTTGTCTCTTGGAAAACGGATTCCAAGAAAGACTGCTGACGGAATCCGTGAAGAGGGAGTAGTAGCAGGAGAAGGAGCATTCTGAGAACGAGCGGGAATATGCCAAACAAGCGACAAGACAGGGGCCCATGACAGATTACGGGCCTGGCAGCAGCATGAGGAGTCGCGGTACGGGGGGCCCATGGCAGATTAGGGCCTGGCAGCAGCTATGGGAGGCCCGTAATCTGCCAGCACCCTATGACAAAAAATGGAAACCACACCAGCAGTGTGAGGAGACCTGAAAGTGGCACATGGCAGAGTGTGGCGATGGAGACAGCAGCAATGGGAGGCCGTACAGGGACCCATGAGAGACTCTGGGACCTGGTGCAGCAGCATGAGGAAGGCGGTATATAGGGGCCCATGGCAGATTAGGGGCCTGGCAGCAGCTATGGGAGGCCCGTAATCTGCCAGCACCCTATGACAAAAAATGGAACACACCAGCAGTGTGAGGAGACCTGAAAGTGGCACATGGCAGAGTGTGGGCGATGGAGACAGCAGCAATGGGAGGCCGTACAGGGACCCATGAGAGACTCTGGACTTGGGCAGCAGCATGAGGAGGCGGTTATAGGGGCCATGGCAGATTAGGGGCCTGGCAGCAGCTATGGGAGGCCCGTAATCTGCCAGCACCCTATGACAAAAAATGGGAACACACCAGCAGTGTGAGGAGACCTGAAAGTGGCACATGTTTTGGGGCATGATTCATGGCGGATTTTTAGTCAGTTGTGTCAGGAACTGGTGGTTTGAAATCCAGACTAATCCACGCCTGATTCATTTTCAGGGACCCAAACGTGAGTCTCTCCACACTTTGGGTGGACAGTCGTGTCCTCCGCGGAGTTGCAATACCTCCTGCCGCACTAAACACGCGCTCCGCGTGCGCTCCGATGCCACGCTACTGGCCGGGGCATGACAGCCTTTCAAAGGGCAAATTCAGCTAGTTGGGGACCCAAAGGTCAAGTTTCGTTGCCCAGTAGTCAAGGGGATTGTCTACCTCGGTTGGCAGGGTGCTGTCCAAGTAGGCCTAAGCCTGTTGTTTGAGGTCCTGCTCCAGGTCCACCTGATCTGCTGCTGCTGCTGCTGCTGCTGCTGCTGGGGCTGGTTAGTAGTTTCCTCACTGCGCTGGTGAAGAAAAACTCTATCATCACCCTCGACTGCAGACTGAGGCAGCTGCTGCTGGTGGAGCTGCCACTGCTCCTACCACCCCCCATGTGGCCCCCTGCTGCCATGGCAGCGGAACGCGAGCGCACAGGGCCCACAGTGTCTGAGGATGGACGTTGGCAGCAGACAGGCAGGAGGACCAGCTGACTACATAGGTGGTTTTTATAGTACGTTATTTTGGCCTCCCTCTCAGCAGGTGTGAAAAAAAGGCCACCATTTTTGAACGGTAGCGATGGGGGTCCAACAAGGTGGACAGCCAAAAGTCATCCCTCTGTCTGATGGTTATTATATTCGGCTGTCAGGGTACGCAAGCAAGCGAGCATGCTATGGGCCATTTGTGCCAAGGAATGCGAGGGACTCCTGCCTGCCTCCATCTCCACAGCATACTGCCAACGGTGCGTCTGGGTCCTCTGTCTCCTCTTCCTCCTCCTCTACAGATGCTCCTGCTCCTCCACTCCTGTCCGCTGAGTGGACCCTGAAAAAACCACCCATTTCACTCAATAATTCCTGAGCACCAATGTCCTCCTCCTCTACCTCCTCCTCTTCTTCCTGTCCTGCCCCCACAGGGGTCATGTGGCCGTTGAGATCTGTGCGCCACGTCTACCGCACCCTGACCAGCCATTGTTAACAGCATTTGTTCCAGGACGTGCAACAGAGGAATGACGTCGTTCATCCCATAGTCCTGCCGACTCACGAATAGCGTGGCCTCCTCAAAGGGCCTGAGCAAGCGCAGGTGTCACGCATGAGCTGCCAATGGCTGACATCTAAGTTACACAGGGGAGTACCTTTATCCGCTTTTAACATCAGGAAATCTGTGATGGCCTTTTGCTGTTCGTAAAGGCGGTCTAACATATGTAGGGTTGAATTCCACCTTGTTGCAACGTCACAGCATGAGGAGTCGGTATAGGGGCCCATGGCAGATTACGGGCCTGGCAGCAGCAATGGGAGGCCCGTAATCTGCCAGCACCCTATGTCAAAAAATTCAACACACACAGCAGTGTGTGAGGAGACCTGAAAGTGGCACATGGCAGAGTGTGGCGATGGAGACAGCAGCAATGGGAGGCCGTACAGGGACCCATGAGAGACTCTGGACTTGGCAGCAGCATGAGGAGGCATGGTATATAGGGGCCCATGGCAGATTAGGGGCCTGGCAGCAGCTATGGGAGGCCCGTAATCTGCCAGCACCCTATGTCAAAAAATTCAACACACCAGCAGTGTGAGGAGACCTGAAAGTGGCACATGGCAGAGACGTGTGGCGATGGAGACAGCAGCAATGGGAGGCCGTACAGGGGACCCATTGACAGACTCTGGACTGGCCTGGCAGCAGCATGAGGAGGCGGTATATAGGGGCCCATGGCAGATTAGGGGCCTGGCAGCAGCTATGGGAGGCCCGTAATCTGCCAGCACCCTATGTCAAAAAAATTCAACACACCAGCAGTGTGTGAGGAGACCTGAAAGTGGCACATGGCAGAGTGTGGCGATGGAGACAGCAGCAATGGGAGGCCGTACAGGGACCCATGACAGACTCTGGACCTTGGCAGCCGAGCAGCATGAGGAGGCGGTATATAGGGGCCCATGGCAGATTAGGGGCCTGGCAGCAGCTATAGGAGGCCCGTAATCTGCCAGCACCCTATGTCAAAAAATTGGAACACACCAGCAGTGTGAGGAGACCTGAAAGTGGCACATGGCAGAGTGTGGCGATGGAGACAGCAGCAATGGGAGGCCGTACAGGGACCCATGAGAGACTCTGGACCTGGCAGCAGCATGAGGAGGCGGTATATAGGGGCCCATGGCAGATTAGGGGCCTGGCAGCAGCTATAGGAGGCCCGTAATCTGCCAGCACCCTATGTCAAAAAAAAATTCAACACACCAGCAGTGCAGTGTGAGGAGACCTGAAAGTGGCACATGGCAGAGTGTGGGCATGGAGACAGCACAATGGGAGGCCGTACAGGGACCCAGCAGACTCTGGACCTGGGCAGCAGCATGAGGAGGCGGGCGTACAGGGGCCCATGGCAGATTAGGGGCCTGGCAGCAGCTATAGGAGGCCCGTAATCTGCCAGCACCCTATGTCAAAAAATTCAACACACCAGCAGTGTGTGAGGAGACCTGAAAGTGGCACATGGCAGAGTGTGGCGATGGAGACAGCAGCAATGGGAGGCCGTACAGGGACCCATGACAGGACTCTGGACTTGGCAGCAGCATGCAGGCATGAGGGGAGGCGGTATATAGGGGCCCATGGCAGATTAGGGGCCTGGCAGCAGCTATGGGAGGCCCGTAATCTGCCAGCACCCTATGTCAAAAAATGGAACACACCAGCAGTGTGTGAGGAGACCTGAAAGTGGCACATGGCAGAGTGTGGCGATGGAGACAGCAGCAATGGGAGGCGGTACAGGGACCCATGACAGACTCTGGACTGGCAGCAGCATGAGGAGGCGGTATAGGGGCCCATGGCAGATTAGGGGCCTGGCAGCAGCTATGGGAGGCCCGTAATCTGCCAGCACCCTATGTCAAAAAAAAATGGAACACACCAGCAGCAGTGTGAGGAGACCTGAAAGTGGCACATGGCAGAGTGTGGCGATGGAGACAGCAGCAATGGGAGGCTCCGTACAGGGACCCATGAGACACTCTGGACCTGGCAGCAGTCATGAGGAGGCGGTATAGGGGCCCATGGCAGATTAGGGGCCTGGCAGCAGCTATGGGAGGCCCGTAATCTGCCAGCACCCTATGGCAAAAAAATTAGGCACACCAGCAGTGGTGTGATGGAGTCCCTGGCCGTTTGGAGGCCCGTACAACTCCACTGAAAATTGAACAGACCAGCTGTGGCGATGGAGACAGCAGCAAGGGGGCCGTACAGGGACCCATGAGAGACTCTGGACCTGGCAGCAGCATGAGGAGGCGGTATATAGGGGCCCCATGGCAGATTAGGGGCCTGGCAGCAGCAATGGGAGGCCCGTAATCTGCCAGCACCCTATGAAGCCCTATGAAAAAAATGGAACACACCAGCAGTGTGAGGAGACCTGAAAGTGGCACATGGCAGAGTGTGGCGATGGAGACAGCAGCAATGGGAGGCCGTACAGGGACCCATGACAGACTCTGGACCTGGCAGCAGCAGCATGAGGAGGCGGTGTATAGGGGCCCATGGCAGATTAGGGGCCTGGCAGCAGCTATGGGAGGCCCGTAATCTGCCAGCACCCTATGTCAAAAAATGGAAACACACACCAGCAGTGTGAGGAGACCTGAAAGTGGCACATGGCAGAGTGTGGCGATGGAGACAGCAGCAATGGGAGGCCGTACAGGGACCCATGAGAGACTCTGGACTTGGCAGCAGCATGAGGAGGCGGGTACAGGTATAGGGGCCCATGGCAGATTAGGGGCCTGGCAGCAGCTATGGGAGGCCCGTAATCTGCCAGCACCCTATGTCAAAAAAATGTAAACACACACAGCAGTGTGTGAGGAGACCTGAAAGTGGCACATGGCAGAGTGTGGCGATGGAGACAGCAGCAATGGGAGGCCGTACAGGGACCCATGAGAGACTCTGGACTTGGCAGCAGCATGATGGAGGCGGGGTATAGGGGCCCCATGGCAGATTAGGGGCCTGGCAGCAGCTATGGGAGGCCCGTAATCTGCCAGCACCCTATGACAAAAAAAATGGAACACACCAGCAGTGTGAGGAGACCTGAAAGTGGCACATGTTTGGGGCATGATTCATGGCGGATTTAGTCAGTTGTGTCAGGAACTGGTGGTTTGAAATCCAGACTAATCCACGCCTGATTCATTTTCACAAACGTGAGTCTCTCCACACTTTGGGTGGACAGTCGTGTCCTCCGCGGAGTTACAATACCTCCTGCCGCACTAAACACGCGCTCCGATGCCACGCTACTGGCCGGGCATGACAGCCTTTCAAGGGCAAATTCAGCTAGTTGGGGGCCAAAGGTCAAGTTTCGTTGCCCAGTAGTCAAGGGGATTGTCTACCTCGGTTGGCAGGGTGCTGTCCAAGTAGGCCCAAGCCTGTTGTTTGAGGTCCTGCTCCAGGTCCACCTGATGCTGCTGCTGCTGCTGCTGCGGCTGGGTTAGTAGTTTCCTCACTGCGCTGGTGAAGAAAGCTACTCATCATCGACTGCACAGACTGAGGCAGCCGCTGCTGGTGGAGCTGCCACTGCTCCTACCACCACCCCACCCCTCCCCTGCTGCCATGGCAGCGGAACGCGAGCGCGCACAGGGCCCACAGTGTCTGAGGATGGACGTTGGCGCACAAAGGCAGAGAGACCAACTGACTACATAGGTGGTTTTTATAGTACGTTATTTTGGCCTCCTCTCAGCAGGTGTGAAAAAGGCCACCATTTTTGAACGGGTAGCGAGGGTCCAACAAGGTGGACAGCCAAAAGTCATCCCTCTGTCTGATGGTTATTATTCGGCTGTCGATCGCTACGCAAGCAAACCGAGCTTGCTATGGGCCATTTGTGCCAAGGAATGCGAGGGACTCCTGACTCCTCCATCTCCACAGCATACTGCCACGGTGCGTCTGGGTCCTCTGTCCTCCTCTCTCTCCTCTACCAGATGCTCCTGCTCCTCCACTCCTGTCCGCTGAGTGGAAAAAACACCCCATTTCACTCTCAATAATTCCTGAGCACAAATGTCCTCCTCTACCTCCTCCTCTTCTTCCTGTCCTGCCCCCCACAGGGGTCATGTGGCCGTTGAGATCTGTGCGCCACGTCTACCGCACCCTGACCAGCCATTGTTAACAGCATTTGTTCCAGGACGTGCAACAGAGGAATGACGTCGTTCATCCCATAGTCATAGTCCCTGCCGACTCACGAATAGCGTGGCCTCCTCAAAGGGCCTGAGCAAGCGGCAGGTGTCACGCATGAGCTGCCAATGGCTGACATCGAAGTTACACAGGGGAGTACCTTTATCCGCTTGTAACATCAGGAAATCGGTGATGGCCTTTCGCTGTTCGTAAAGGCGGTCTAACAGTCTAACATGTGTAGGGTTGAATTCCACCTTGTTGCAACGTCGCAGATCAGGCGATGCTGTGGAATTCCGTTCTGCCGCTGCAGCTCAAGGAGGGTGTGCTTTGCGGTGTAGGAATGGCTGAAATGCATGCAAAGTTTACGTGACATTTTAAGGATGTCTTGCAGTGGGATGGTGGATTTTTAGGAACCGCTTGACAACCAGATTGAACACGTGAGCCATGCATGGCGCATGGCACAACCTTCCTTGACGCAGAGCAGACACCATGTTCTTTCCGTTGTGTCGGTCAACATGGTTCCCGATTTTCAGTTTGCGCCGGAGACAGCCATCTGTCGATTTCTCTGTTCATTACACTGAGAAGTTCCTCCCCTGTGTGACTACGTTCGCCTGGACCAGGCATAGCAGCATGAGGAGGCGGTATAGGGGCCCATGGCAGATTGGGCCTGGCACTCAGCAGCTGTGGGAGGCCCCGTAATCTGCCAGCAACCCTATGTCAAAAAATGGACTTGGCACCGCAGTGCTGTGAGGAGACCTGAAAGTGGCACATGGCAGAGGGTGTACTGTGGGCGATGGGACAGCACAGCAATGGGACGGGAGCGTACAGGGACCCATGATTGACTCTGGACTGGCAGCAGCATGAGGAGGCGGTATTGGGGGCCCCATGGCAGATTACTGGGCCACGTGCAGCAGCTATGGGAGGCCCGTAATCTGCCAGCACCCTATCACACAAAAAACTGGTCAACACACTAACAGCAGTGCCCTGTGATGGAGACCTGCACATGCAAAGTGGACACACCCTGACTTCTACTGTGTGACCTGGCAGCAGCATGAGGACTGGTACAGGGGCCCATGATCGCAGATTAGGGGCCTGGCAGCAGGCTATGGGACCCTAATCTGCGGCAGCACCCTATGAGCTCAAAAATTCAACTCGGACAAGTGTGTGAGGAGACCTGAACTTGGAAATGGACATGGACAGAGTGTGGCAATTGGAGACAGGGAATTCTTTCAGCTCCAGCAAAAGTAACTTTGCAGCGGTGCCCATGCAAGCTGCAGTTCTGTTCTCTGATGGGAACAAGCAATTAGGCCTGATCTAGTAACGAATTCTGTGGCTTGCTAGCAAGTAGAGATCAGTTTCATGGCCTGGCAGTAAGGGTCTGTGAGGAGTAACTTAAGTAGCAGACTTGGCTGAGTGTGCGTGCATGGGAGCCTTGTCTTGCTGTGGAGTAACAATTCAGTGTCAGTCGAGTAATTCAATTGGGGAGGTGGCTGCTGAAGCAGCTTGGGTGTCTCCTCCGTTTCTGTGACCGCCCTCTGTTAGCGGTTTCTGTTCACTGGCACAGCCATTGTGGAGCACTGACGGCTCTGGCTGGCAGATGTCTGATGAGCCGCGACTAACAGCGCCTCCTCTGCTGCCTGTCCCTGGTAGATCTAGCACCCTGGGATCTGTCCTAAGGATGTCACCTGTGCTGTCCTCCCTGACAGCTACGTTTCTGGCTAAGTGGGCTCAACGCATGCAATTTCTGTGAGGGACCTGAGTAACAAGTTCTGTGAGACTCTGTCCTGAGTAACAGCAATTTTCGGGTAATAGAGGCCCATGGCTAAGATTCTGTGGCCAACTAAGCAACAGTTCTGTGGCGCTCAGTAACAATTCTGTGTCCTCTCGTAATCGGATGTTCTACCGTCCTGCAAGCACAACACATCTTTGGAGCACTGATGTGACAGTAACAACTTGGCTGTGGACAGGAGGGTACCCTGTATGGGCTACTTGACCACCCACTCTTCTGTTCTTGTCAGCAGCTGAAAGGCGGTTGACTCTCATTCTGACCTGTCTCCCGCTGTTAGCGGACCTGCATTCAGCCTCTGTGACCGCCTCGAGTAATCTACACCCTGACTCAGTCCCACAGTAACAATTCATGTGTCCCTGGAGTAACACTCAACATGGTGTAAGATCATGAGGACAGTCGGGGACAGATTGTCCTGAGACCGGCTGGAGCAATTCTGCTGGATGTCCCTCTGCCTTCTAACGCAGTCTGTGGTCTGTGTCCCAGTAAACGTTTCTGCTCCCTCAGTTACCCCTATTCCTCTGTGGTCCCTGGAAGACACTGTGACTGGGTCCAGAGTAACGATTTCTCCAAATCTCAGTAAATTCTGTGGCCTCCTGGCACTCCTCTGGCCTTAACAATTCTGTGTGTCACTGAGGAGACGTACTCTTCTTGCACCTGAGTAAGAGATATCTGTGTCTCTCTTACCTGAGTATATCAACCGACTGATTGTCGGTCAGTGCAACCTGAGTAACAATTCTGTGACTGTTCCCTGAGTAAGAATTCTGTGCTGACCCTAGCTAGTAACAGTTCTGCTGTGTCCTAAGTAACTAGTTCTGTGGTCCCAGCCTCACGCAGAAGTAACGTGTCTGTATGTCTGTCCTCTAAGTAACATTTCTGTGTCCTCTCAGTAAAACAATTCTGTGTCCCGCTCAGTAACAATTCTGTGTCCCTGAGTAACGAAATTCTGTGTCTGTCCTCCCTGAGTACAGAATTCTGTGTCTGTCCCTGAGTAACATTCTGAGTGTCCCTGAGTAACGTTTCTGTTTCCCTAAGTAATAACAATTCTGTGTGCCCTCAGTAACAATTCTGTGTCTGTCCCTCAGTAACAATTCTGTGTGTCCCTACAGTAAACAAATTCTGTGTGTCCCTGAGCTGTAAACAATTCTGTGGTCCCTGAGTAACAATTCTGTGTCCCTGAGTGTTCCTGTCCCTAAGTAACAATTTTCTGTGTCCGCTGAGTAACAATTCTGTGTCTGTCCCTGAGTAACAATTCTGTGTCCCTCTCTATGCTAACAGTAATTGCTGTGTCCCTCAGTAACAACAGCTTCTGTGTCCCTCAGTAACAATTCTGTGTCGTCCTGAGTAACAATTCTCTGTGTCTGCCCACAGCTGAGTAAGAATTTCTGTGTGTCTGTCCCTGAGTAACAATTCTGTGTGTCCTTGAGTAACTATTCTGTGTCCCTGAGTAACAATTCTGTGGCCCTCCCATAAGTAACGTTTCTGTGGCCCTAAGTAACAATTCTGTGGCCCCTCAGTAACAATTCTGTGTCTCCCTCAGTAACAATTCTGTGTCCTCCTGAGTAACAATTCTGTGTCTGTCCCTGAGTAACAATTCTGTGTCTGTCCCTGAGTTAACAATTCTGTGTCCCTGAGTAACAGTTTCTGTGGCTTGATTATCCTGAAGTAACAGTTCTGTGCCTGTCAGTAAGAACAATTCTGTGGTCTGTCCCCTGCAGTAACACTTTCTGTCCCTGTCCCTGTGGGCTCATGTAACAATTCTGTGTCCCTCAGTAACTAATTCTGTGTCTCCCTGAGTAACAATTCTGTGTGTCTGTCCTGAGTAACAATTCTGTGTCCCTGAGTAACAATTCTGTGTGTCCACCTGAGTAAGACAATTCTGTGTCTCCCTCAGTAACAATTCTGTGTGTCCTCTGAGTAAACAATTCTGTGTCCCTGAGTAACAGCCATCTGTGTCTGAGTTTCAATTGTGTCTGTCCCTGAGTAACAATTCTGTGGCCCTCAAGTAACAATTCTGTGTGTCCCTCAAGTAAACATTTCTGTGTCCCTCGAGTAACAATTCTGTGTCCCTCGGAGTAACAATTCTGTGTCCTCTGAGTAACAATTCTGTGTCCCTGAGTAAAATTCTGTGTGTCCGTGTTGAGTAAGTAACAATTCTCTGTCCCCTGAGTAACAATTCTGTGTCCCAGTAAGTAACAATTCTGTGTCTGTCCTAAGTAACAATTCTGTGTCCCTCAGTAACAATTCTGTGTCCCTCAGTAACAATTCTGTGTCCCTCGAGTAACAATTCTGTGTCCCTCAGTAACAATTCTGTGTCTCAGTAGACATGTTCTGTCCTCAGTAAACAATTCTGTGTCCCTGAGTAACAATTCTGTGTCCCTGAGTAACAATTCTGTGTCTGTCCCTGAGTAACAAATTCTGTGTCTGTCCCTGAGTAACAATTCTGTGTCCCTAAGTAACGTTTTCTGTGCCCTAAGTAAACGTTTCTGTTGCCCTAAGTAACGTTTCTGTGGCCCTAAGTAAGACAATTCTGTGCCCTCTCAGTAACAATTCTGTGTCCCTCAGTAACAAATGTCTGTCCCTAAGTAACAATTCTGTGGCCCTAAGTAACGTTTCTGTGGCCCTAAGTAACGATTCTGTGGCCCTCAGTAACAATTCTGTGTCCCCTCTGAGTAACAATCTCTGTGTCCCTCAGTAACAATTTCTGTCTGTCCCTGAGTAACAATTCTGTGTCTGTGTCCCCCTGAGTAACAATTCTGTGTTGTCCCTAAGTAACAATTCTGTGTGTCCCTCAGTAACAATTCTGTGTCCCTCAGTAACAATTCTGTGTCTGTCCCTGAGTAAGTAATTCAATGTCTGTGTCCCTCAGTAAACAATTCTGTGTCCCTGAGTCACTAAGTACGTTGTGTATCCCTCAGTAACAATTCTGTGGCCCCTAATGTAACAGTTTCGAATTCTCTGTGTCCTCAAATTTCCCAGTAGTGAAGTAACAATTCTGTGTCCCTCAGTAACAATTGTTCTGTGGCCCTAAGTAACATTCTGTGTCTGTCCCTGCGGAGTAACAATTCTGTGTCCCTCTGTAGTAACATTTCTGTTGTGGTCCTATGTAACAGTTCTGTGTTCTCAGTGGTTCTCAGCCTCATCTAACAATTCTGTGTCCCCCCAGTAACAATTCTGTGTCTGTCCCTGAGTAACAATTCTGTGTCTGTCCCTGAGTAACAATTCTGGTCCCTAAGTAAACAATTCGTGTCTGTCCCTCAGTAACTAATTCTGTGTCCCTCAGTAACAATTCTGTGTCCTCAGTAACAATTCTGTGTCTGTCCCTGAGTAACAATTCTGTGTCTTGTGTCCCTGAGTAAGAATTCTGTGTCTGTCCCTGAGTAACAATTCTGTGGTCCCTAAGTAACGTTTCTGTTGCCCTAAGTAACGTTTCTGTGGCCCTAAGTAACAATTCTGTGGCCCTAAGTAACAATTCTGTGTCTGCCCTCAGTAACAATTCTGTGTCATTACCAGTTATGTAACAATTCTGTGTCCCTGAGTAACAATTCTGTGTCCCTGAGTAACAATTCTGTGTCTGTCCCTGATTAACAATTCTGTGGCCCTAAGTAACGTTTCTGTGGCCCTATTTGTAACAGTTTCTGGTGCTGGCCCTCAGTAACAATTCTGTGTCCCTCAGTAACAGTAACAATTCTGTGTCCCTCCCTGAGTAACAATTCTGTGTCTGTCCCTGAGTAACAATTCTGTGTCCCTGAGTAACAGTTTTCTGTGGTCCCTAAGTAACGTATTCTGTGGTCCCCCTAAGTAAACGTTTCTGTGTAAACCCTGTGTCACTAAGTAACAAATTCTGTGCTCCCTCAGTAACAATTCTGTGTTCTGTGGCCTCAGTAACAATTCTGTGTCCCTCAGTAACAATCTCTGTGTCTGTCCCTGAGTAACAATTCTGTGTCCCCTGAGTAACAATTCTGTGTCCCTCAGTAACAATTCTGTGTCCCTCAGTAACAATTCTGTGGCCCTCAGTAACAATTCTGTGTCTGTCCCTGAGTAACAATTCTGTGTCCCCTAAGTAACAATTCTGTGG